AATGTCATTATAAATGTTTTTCGTATTAACCTAATATTTCTGTGGGAATATTGAGTTCAGCTATAGACGAAGACATCCTGTTTTTATGTCAGTATTTCCTCTGGTTAAACTAGTTCCCTTGGCATTGCCTCAGTAGAAGTCATGCATTTGAGCAAACGATTGACTCTAAGCAATACACATACTTTTTGTATTGTTAACATGTGGACCTATGCAAATAAAGCTATCACAAATGGTGTTTCGAAATGTCATAATTAATTTTTGACAGATTTCATGATACGTCATATTATTATATAATCTATGTTTTCTGGTCCAATGTATGTGTTTCTGTTATATCTTATGGCTTCCACATTAAATTGGGAAGAAAATGTTCTCGAATTTTTTAAACCAAAGATTTCTTATTTTATTTAAATGCTTTTCTAAATTTTCATTGGCTTATGACCACATCACATTGAAAGACCGGCTCTCGTTCGATCACCAAATTTAAGCCACATTGAAATCAGTACGTAGATGGCAATACTAGATGCTGCAAGCTTGGATGTGCGGGTGGTGTAATGGATAATGGCTGGTAATTGTTAATCAGAGAACCGAGTTCCAATTCCAGCCGGGTTTGTTATATTCACTTACACGCAAATATCATTGAGAAAGGCACGAATCCACCTCTTTTCCCACTAGCTATGGATTAATTAGTAGGATTTCTATCACTAAACCATTATTATCTAAAAAAAAAAAACTAATTCTTGCAAACTATAAAATATTTTCTGGTTTTAAATAACCTTCGAAAGGCTGATAAACAGTAAAAAAATGAATGAATCAATAAATTTTCATTTATGTCGACGCCCATTCCAAGAATAAAACATTCACGTGAAATAAAAAAAAATTTAATTTACGACAGTTTGGGCGAAGCTATAAAAGAAAATGAAATCATTCCATGAAAATGAAAAATGAAATCATTCCATGAAAATCGCTAATCAAAAGAATTTTGCTATGATTTATAACCTATCGGTTTATTTTAATTTTTAAAGTAATTGATTCTTTAAACGTCGAAAATTTAAATGTGAAATGAATCGATAAAAGTTAAAAGGTTTGTGTCTGTTGTTTAAAACCAAATGGCAGTAAAATTCCGATCGACATTTTCTGGCATTAAAATTTTTTAAAAGGTGTTTGAATGCATCGCAAATTTTAAAATCATTTGGTGGAAACTGGAACAAGAAATGAAGTCTTTATGATTAGAATCAGAGCCGATGCATACTACCCCACGACCGGAGGAGCCGAGCCTGATTGGTGGGCCCCAGGCAATGCTTGCTATCTTATCTACATTTACTTTTTTTCTACCTACATTTATATACGCTAAAAATTAAACTAAGCACAACTGACCATTTAAGGATCAAAAACTCTCATAGATTTTGACGTCAGTTTGGCGGGTGTTTTTTTTGTCCAAATCCATGAATTTGTTTTGCCCACACTGTCTCGAAAAAACACGACATAAAATTCAATATTTTTTTTAACCATAATGTTGAATGTGCTAACATTATTCAACTTTTTAACAAGAAAAATCTCATGTTGCTGTTAAAAATTGCTGCAAAACATTTGATTTAAGATGGAATGATCTATTGTGACATGTCTCTAATTTGTATTTAGATACATTGTATTTATTTTCAATTTTTATAGTTTAATTGTTCACCTGTATTGCACATGATCTATTATTGTACATAGGTTAGAATAAAATTTTTATTTTATAGGAATGCAACCTTATGAAAATTGAGATATAGTAGAGTGTGGGGGGGGGCGTATCATAGATTGGGAGCCACGAGACCCTTGCACCGGTTTTGATTAGAATTATACCAAATCAAGCAATACAAATGCAGAAAAGCATATATCTGTGTTTCATCGACTACGCAAAAGTATTTCATAATGATATACACGAATATTTATTTCAACTGTTTGGAAAGTTTGATTCATTTGGGAAAATATCTTCGATTAATCTAGAATATTTACTGGGACCAATCAGCCTGCATACGGATAGAAAATGATTTGAGTACAAGAAAAGAGAAAGGGACATGAGGCATAGATTCGTCTTTTCAGCGGATTTAGTTAATCTGCACAATGTGTTCCGAAGAGATTTGTTCTATGAGATTTCATCGTCGGCAGGCACATACACAAATGACATTGTATTAATGACAGACACAAAAAGTAAACTGAAGAACCTCTACAAAGGTTAGTAAAAGAAAACGAGAAGAAAGGACTGATCACCAATTATAAGACACAATGAATGGCCGTCATGAAGAGGAACAGCTCAAGATACGAATTAAAGATATCAAAATCAAGCCAGCGACATTATAATACGAAAAGATGCCTTCCTAAAGTTAAGTAGAAGGATTGTGAAACGGAAATTTCATTAGAATCAACAAACAAAGTACTGAACTGCTATGTAATATCAGTACTACTATTTTAATGACTCCTGTACATTCTTCTGACGGATAAAGAAGAGATTTGAAGCAACAGAGATTGGCTTTAAGGAAGGATTTTGAAAAGACCATCGACAGAAAATGTGAGTAACGACAAAGTTTTAAGGAAAATGGAAACAAAAAGGACACTTATACTTAGAACCAGAAAGAGACAGATGGAAATTCTTGCAAAACATAATGAAGATAGAATGTTTGGAGAATTTGACACTCACAGGACATATCGAAAGCATGAGGAGCAGAGGAAAACAGTGAGTAACCTATTTAACGATCTTGTGTCAATAGAAGTAGTGGAGAGCCATGATCTACCTACCTAATGTGTAAATGAATGGCAAACCAGAAAGTGGGTGGTATAATAAAAAGAGAAGCAATGCTACGAGCTACAAAGGATAGGAAGTTGTGGAGAGCTATAATTGCACACGCCCTAAAGGGACATGGTACATCAAAAAAAAGAAAAAAAAAGAATAACTGCCGTAAGTTATAAATACCTTAAACTACCAGAATGAATCATATTTTCTATTCAGAGAATTAATAATGAAAACAAAAAAAAAATGGCGGTGATTCCTTATAAGAAATTCGGTCAGTTTCATTGATTCAGACAACCCAGAATTCAACAGACATAAAAATTTCAAGTTCATTTTTTTGTTTTTCTCTTGTTTTGAAATTGTCAGTTAATTCACACGATTAACGTTAAAAAATTGTCTTCATAAAAGTACAAAGAAAATATTTCCCAACTCATTGCATTAGTTGCCGTACGACTATTATTTTAAATAGAACCGGCTTACAAAAGACGCAAAATTAGATATAAATGAATTGCTCTCTTAATATATACACATTTACACATAGACACACTCGTACACACACACATATACACACAAACATACACACACACACATACATATAAATATATACAGAATGCGATGAATAAATTGTCTAAATTATGTAAAAATGAAAATAACACTGACTTTAAAAATATATATTTACCAAAATTACGCAAAAATATCTTGAAAAGAGTAAATTTATTCAATAAAATCGTTATTGGCTTCAATCACGGTCTCCAAACAACTGAATTTTATTACGGATTTATTGTATACAAGTCACCCGAAGGTTTTGCAAAAGGACTGAAATATCTGAGAGTTGGATCAATAAGTCCGTAGCCTGACCAGATTAACTTAAGTTTTGATTTGAAATTTTCATTGTATAATCTTCGATATATAGGAATAATAGAGAAGATTTCGGAAAAGTGAATTAATAAGAAAAGAAATTAAGCTGAAAAATAAATGCCTTTTTGCTTTCACCATTAGGCTATGGACTTATTGATCTTATTATGAGCTTATTATATCGGATTTTATTAGTAAAAAAATCCGTATGCCAACAATTGTCTGTTAAGAAATAAAGGCACACGGCCTTAAGCGACCTGTAAAGGTGTATGGCTAGATAATGCTTCCGCCTCAATGTTAATTAGATATCGATTTTTTGGCTTACCTGTGTTACAAATCTGAAAGCGTTCGGCTTGGCAGACTTAATTCTGTTTTATATTCACACAACATTGTGACTGATTGATAACAGAATTAGTTGTGTATGTCCAATCAGCGCTAGGGGAGGGTAGACGCAACATAATCTTCGCCCCCGTCACTCACGATCTTGTCTCAAACTAAGATAAGATTCGTAAATATCATTAGTTGCTGTCGTCTTAATGCATAAATAATAGTTTTCCTGAGTGAATGCATAATGCCCATCAACCATCCATACAGCCATTCATTTGAAGGTATTAGGCTGTTTGAATGAAACTAAAAAGTTCTCAAGAGATTTGTAGGAAAGGGTGCTGAAATATTTTCAACCCAATACAAGAAGTAGGAAGTGAGTCGGCCTGGAAATATTACAATCACCCTAAGTAACACTTCATAGATTCTAAAATCAACGCAAATGAGTTGTTAAATAAGATTTAAAGGGATTTAAAGGGGTTAGAAATGACGTGTTTATTGATGTTTCTTTGTTTCTTTTTAATTCTTGTATTGAAAATGCAATACATGCACTTAAGCACTAACACAAAAATATATATATATATATATATATATAAATTTAAATTTTAAATATATATAAATTTAAATATAAAATATATATAAAATATATAAAAATTATATAAATATATATAAATATTATATAAATATATATGAATATTATATAAATATATATAAAATATTATATAAATATATATAAAATATATATAAATTTAAATATAAAATATATATAAATTTAAATTTTAAATTCATTTTTCCTTTCACTTTTGGAAGTCTGAAGATCCAGAGAAAATAAAATGCTCTAGTGAAATAAATTATTACAAATGGATCCATAAATGGTCTCTTTTTCTTTTTGTTAAAATAATATATATATATATATATATATATATATATATATATATATATATATATATATATATATAAAGAAATACTACCTATTTGTGCTACCATAGTTTCCACCAATATGGTTTCGTCAGGCAAGAGGTTAATTGTATTTTCAAAAGCATCTTGTATTTATTTATACATTCTCAACGGGATTTGCGATGGAAGGGGGGCAAAGGAAGAGTAGAAGGACAGGATGGGTAGGTGCAAAGCAAGAATAGAAGAACTGGAAGGGGGGCAAAGCAAGAGTAGAAGGAGTGGAAGGGGGAGAGCAAAGCAAGAGTAGAAGGCCTGGAAGGAGAGGGGACAAAGCAAAAGCAGAAGGACTGGAAGGGGAGAAGCAAAGCGTAGCAAGAGTAGACGGACTGAAAGGGGAGGGGGTAAGCAAGTGTAGAACGACTGAAGGGGGGGCAAATAAAGAGTAGAAAGACTGGAAGGGGGGCATAGCAAGAGTAGAAAGACTGGAAGGGGAGGAGAGCAAAGCAAGTGTAGAAGGACTTGAAGGGGAGGTGAGCAAAGAAAGAGTAGAAGGACTTGATGGGGAGGGGGCAAAGCAGGTGTAGAAGGCCTGTAAGCGTAGAGGGCAAAGCGAGAGTAGAATGACTGGAAATGGGGCAAAGCAAGAGTAGAGGGACTGGAAGCGGTGGGGGGGCAAAGCAAGAGTAAAAGACTGGAAGGGAGGGGGAAAGCAAGAGTAGAAGGATTGGAAGGGGACAAAGCAAGAGTAGAAGGACTGGAAGAGGTGGGGGACAAAGGAAGAGTAGAAGGACTGGAAAGGGGGAAGACAAAGCAAAAGCAGAAGTACTGAAAGGGTGGAAGGCAAAGCAAGAGTAGAAGGACTGGAAGGGGGGGGGGCAAGAAAAATAGAAAGACTGAAAGAGGAGGGGGGAAAAGCAAGAGTAGAAGGACTGGAAGGGGGACAAATCAAGAGTAGAAGGACTGGAAGCGGTGGGGGCAAAGCAAGAGTAGAAAGACTGGAAGGGGAGGCGGGAAAAACAAGAGTAGAAGGATTGGAAGGGGGACAAAGCAAGAGTAGAACGACTGAAAGGGGTGGAGGGCAAAGCAAGAGTAGAAGGACTGGAAGGGGAGGTGGGCAAATCAAGGGTAGAAGGACTGGAAGGGGAGGGGGCAAAGCAAGAGTAGGAGGACTGGAAGCGTGGCAAAGCAAGAGTAGAAGGACTGGAATGGGAGGGGGCATAGCAAGAGTAGAAGGACTGGAAGGGGAGAGGGGCAAAGCAAGTGTAGAAGGACTGGAAGTGGGCAAAGCAAGAGTAGAAGGACTGGAAGGGTGGGGGCAAAGCAAGAGTAGAAGGACTGGAAGGGTAGGGGGCAAAGCAAGAGTAGAAGGAATGGAAGGGTAGGGGGCAAAGCAAGAGTAGAAGGACTGGATGGAGATTGGGCCAAGCAAGTGTAGAAGGACTGCAAGGGGAGGGGTGAAATTGTACCTGTACTCTTATCCGGGTTCATACAAACCCAAAATGTATTTTCTAGATTTTCTTGCAGCTTGACATCACTTCAGATTTTTCATTTAAAAGTTTATACTCGTCGAGATACGACATGATTTCTAATTTCCCCTCCTGGCATAATCTTTACATAGCCTCACCAATGTTGTAAGATTTGACCCTCTTTAAAATGCTCCAACACATAATAGAGCTTTGTTTTTCCATTTTTTCTCTTTTACTTTCCATACACGGTTGGGTAAGTTTCGTACAATTTCTATATTTTTCCAGCCTGAATGATGACCGATGTATCATCTTCTTTTTGAAAGCTGCCTCCAATATCCCTGCATATTTCCCTTTACTTTAACCAACATTCGCTCTCCAGCTTTGGAGAACACAGTTTCTCATTTACAAGCTCCGTTAAGCAAAACACTTGCTTCTATCTTTACAGTTGCACATTTCATTTGTTATGTCCTTATTTTACACGCTATCTTTGAAATACCCGGAATTCTGGGGGCTTTTTTTATGGCAGTTTCCAAATTATTTGTACAATTATAGTTTCTCGGTATTTCTACTGAAGATCTTATATAATTCAGAATTATTAGGTAAGTGCTTATCAAGAATTTGATATTTGGAATTAAGTGATTAGTATTTCTTTATTTTGATATTTAACAGCTCTACACTATCGATTTTTTGCATCGTTTTTGGGAAAGTCTAAATTTGACTGGATAAAACTATAATATATATATATATATATATATATATATATATATATATATTAGTGGTAAATATACACATACATATGCGAAATATATAAATATATCTACATAGGTGCATACACATACATGTATATTTTTTGAATAAAAAATTCCAAGAGGATAGAATCCAGGTAGAACTCAATGTCCAGGACAGAGTAAGGATATAATAAAAAGGCTTAAACACTAATATTCCATGGTCATAATTTATTCCATTGGAATCGTAAATACGATCCAATTCATCAGACCTACAAATTCAAAAAAAAAGAAAACAGAAAAAACAACTTCGGAAATAAAAAATAGAATTTAGAGAGAGTGTAAGTATGAGAGTATAGTGTATACGCACGCACGCAGATATATATATATATATATATATATATATATATATATATATATATATATATATATATATAGTTTAAAAAACTAGGTAATCCGTATGGATAAACGTAAGGAGGATAAAATCCAGAGAGCTCAATGTAAATCCAGAGCAAATAATTTAAATAATAACAGACCACTTTAAGGTGCCATGTAATAAATTTTTTCACCACAGCCCTTTTAAAAGAACTGCGGATCATCAGACTTTACTTCGAAACAAAAAATGAAAAGAAAATTTACACATTTTTGACGGGCCGTATTAAACATATGTAAATTAACGAAGTGAGGAAGTGAGGGAGGAGAGAGAGAAGACATGAGTGAGTTAGCAGATATTGACACATTTAAACGGTTAATAAATATATATAATATAATATAATAAATATATTATAATATAATAAATATAATATAATAAATATATTATAATATAATAAATATATATATATATATATAAATTATAATATCCTATATTGATTGTACGACTCGGAGTTTTATGCTGTCTACAATCGTCAGGTGCCAATTTTTGATCACACACACACACACACACACACACACACACACACACACACACACACACACACACACACACACATATATATATATATATATAGATAGATAGATAGATAGAGAGAGAGAGAGAGAGAGAGATAAGTATGTATGTATACCAAAGTGTATGTTGAAAATTTCCGATCGACTTTATATAATGAGCAAACATTTGCGGAATCACTACTTAGGGAGGTTAAGACATTTTCATTATCTACACCCGGCAGCAAGGGCTTCAGATGGGGAGATGGAGGAGCGTGGAACCACCTTTTAATTGCTTCTGTTCCCAAGTCCACGCTGACCTGGGGTGGTAACACCTGTTAGGGACTCAGCTATGGGCAAATAGCGAATCCCTCAACAAAAAAGAAAACATTATGAAAATATAAAAATACATTTTCATAATAAAATTACTAAGAATACATATTTATAGCAAAATGACCAACAATACATTTTATCTGTAGTTGAAGCCATAAAATGGTATTCAACATATTTAGATTTCGGCATTAAATAACCCATAGAGGTGTTGATATTCTGCTAAATAAACTCAACCAACCAACCCGTGACTAAATGCAAATTTCAATATGGCACAGAAAAAAGCTAGCAGTGGTTAGCTCATTACATGGAAGTTTCTTTCATATTGAAGAAACGACAGAAGAGCCCTAACCAGAATATATATTCAATATGCACTCTTTTGTGAGGAAGGAAAGGAAATCGAGGTAATCTCTGCTTTTTTCTAATTATCAAAATGTAACGTCTACGTTATTGTTGTTCAATGTTTGTTATGCACGCCATTTGGGTGTAAGGAGAGCAAATTGTTGCAAATAAAAAAAAATAATGAATAAAAAAATGAATATCTTCTTTCTCCCTTTAGGGAGTGTTCTCAGATCATTGTAGTAAGACGCAGATAATGTCTTTCTTTTATGGATGACCTCATTCACATACGTAAGTCTGGTTTCCGTTTTTCCCCGCTTACTTGAAATGCATTCATTTTATTTCTTTACCTTTATTCAAAATGGCCTTGTCGGCCTGAAATATGCAGCTTTTTGGGCTTGTTTTTAGGATTATAATCTTTTTGGCCTTGTAAATTTGAGAATTAGAAGTCATCAATTAATTTTATAAATTAACGGGCCATTTCAGCTAGACGAAAGTAAATTACTTTGGGTTTTCTATATAAACATTATTAAAGATCAAGCTATGTTTACAAATTAGTCTATATTAATTTCATACCATATCTAACGGAAGAGTAGCAATTTTTTAATCAGTCCATTTCAAGCAAGGTTATAAAGACGAACGACGTAAAACGAAAGGCGTTACTACGAATGAAAGAGAATAGAGTGAAAGAAACTAAGAAAACGTTACGGAGAAGAAAAGACAATATTGAGAATAGAATTCAAGGAAAGAAAAGCTGATAATTGACGTCACATGTAAAGTTTTCTAGATTATAATTCAAAATCTGTCCTCTTTTAGAACTGCATACTAATTACTTTAATTAATCTTGACATTAAAATAAGTGATAAGAAACTATGATGTTACGTGTCGCAAATTGAAGGGCAATTCGTAATAAGATGGTTGCTTGCTTTAGCGGCATATCAGAACCTCCATAGGTTATTTAATGACGAAGTCTAAATATTTTGTACGTAATTTTAGACTTCAGTTATTTTCTACATAATCTTATACTTTCAGAGTAAAGGCATATTTTTTAGATATACAGTTTTTAGTTGATAAATTGTTGAATTCAATTTTTCAATTGTATTGTTGGTAATTTTACTATAAAAATGTATTTTTAAATGTTGCATTGATTGTCATTTTGCCCCCCAAAAGGTATTGTTGCTCATTCTATTATAAAAATCTACCTTTGATTTTTGTTTGGTGTTCATTATTTGCCCATAGCTGAGACCCTAACAGGTGCTAACATCCCGAGTAAGGGTGGACCTGGGAACGACAGCAATTAAGAAGTGGTTCCACTGTCCTCAAAATCTCCAATCTCTCGATCAGAGGCTTTGCTGCCGGATGTAGTTTATCGTCAGACCCAGGACGAGTAATACATATTAATTACGCTGTTATATTAAATAAGTTATCAATATATGATGAAACATGCTTGTTACAGAATTTATTCCTGTAATTGTTGGAACTCAACACGCAGCTTTCTTTTTGGTAATTTTTTTTATAATCAGGTTTGCCAAGAGGATGTACGGTAGAGTAATGGATATCGGATTGAGGAATCGGAGAGCCGAGTTCGAATTCCAGTCAAATTCATTACATTCACTTACGTGCTAAATCCTTTGGTATGAATCCTCTTCTCTCTCCAGCTATTGGTAAATAGCAGGACAGACCGGGTCAATAACCTGGGATGGTATCTGGTTTACCGCAGAAAGAAATGACAAACTACTGCAAAAACCTGCTTCGTCAGTCATGTATCATGTATTATGCATAACTAAGTTCAAGCACTGTTTGTATATTCTTTAAATTTCTGTCTCTTGAAGCAACTCGATCCGTTAAAATTGTTAAATGTCGATTGGAGTGTCGATTAAGCACATCAATTACTAATCAGAATTGTTTTACGAATCTATATTTATAAAATCATTAATAGTTATTCTAGTCATTTAATCACGAGTCCCGAAATCACTATGAGGATCGATCGTAAGGCCATCGCATGTACAACATCTATAACAGTCTCGGTAAAGTTATTATTGAACTATTATAAAACTGCACTGTTCGAAGGACGAATAGAACACACTGTAGTTTTTAAGGTGTTAAAATATGCAGTTTAATCTTACTTCAATTCAAGCACAAAGTTAGACAGTCGTGCGGAACTGAGTCAGATGTTAAACTTTAAGGTTTCCCGATACCACATTTTTTTATTATTTGACCCTCTTACAAGATACTTATTTTTATATCTGTAAATATATTTTGTTTTTATTTTGAATAAATATTTGTGGTATTCATTTGTACTTTCTGAGATGAGGCTTATAGACATTTTCTACCCATATAAGACTTATATAAAAGTTTTAGAAGTTAATTTTTCGAAAATAAATGAAAATGAAATTTTATATATTATTTTGAATAGTTATGGCCACAGTGATTCTAGA